GTTTATTGTGCATTTATTACAGAACCCAAGGGCTGATAACAACAGCAGAAGGATTTTAAAACCAAATATAAAACCAATTTCATAATTTAAGCCAATTTGACCAATAAAAACTGTGTTCTGCTGCAGTTCTGCCTCACGATGACAAAACACGGCTTCTTTTGAGTACTGTGATGCGAAATGTGCAACGAAGTTCAACATTTCTCTACTAACTGAAGAATCTGCTGAACAAATTTACTTTTAAATCTTCAAGAGTACCCAGTTTGAGTTTGATGAAAAATGATCAACCATGCAGTATGAGGAGAATAATTCCACCCTCATAAAATATTTAACATTTTTATAATTCAACCTTGCAGGGAAATGTGACTGAACTCGTGTTGATGCCCTTCAATTGTTTAAAATGAACAAATGACATGAGAGCCAGTTACGTCCTGTAAAACAGATGAACAGATCACGCAGACGGGCTAAAGCTAATTCCTGGCAAACTCTGCAGAATACGAGCTGAGCTTGATTATGTTCCCTCTGTTCGTCCTCGTCTCTGAATCTCATCTCTTGCTCATGCAGTGAGCCAAAGAACCGCCGCATTTATAGGTTAGCTTCTGTTCTTCATACGAGTCGTACTGGGCCTAAACAATTGTGACTTGCCCAAAGCCGAAGTACTCATAACCTCTCTCTCACCACCTTCTTATATCAAGGATATTGTATTAGATGTTCCTAGTTCATGTAATTCCCATTTCCTTCTTTTATGAAACATGATGCTTAACATTTTCTGTCCATATTCTAAGCTGGTCAGTAAAATATGAGTGCCTTGTTTTTGCACCAACAAAAAAAAAAAAAAAAAAAATCAATGAGCACAATTTGTGTCAAGATAAGAAAGATGCTACAAAGTAATGTCGCCGTTACAAAAAGATTATACTACAACAAAGAAGAAAGAAAATAAATTAAACAATTAATAATTAGTTAGCATTCAACAAGTGTGACTCATGGGATATGTTATTGTTAAATACTAACAGAAGAATTATTTCATCCCTGTTTCTGTTGTGAGCTATCAAGTAGTAGATTGTTTATTTAACTCCAATAATAGCTCAGTGGTCTTTCTATGCAAGAGAGAAGAGTGTTTCTGTGTGTGAGAGCGAAAGAAGCAATAAATAACATTTCAAGTGTTGTTTAATCTTCATCAACATTTGACTCTACAAACAAGCAATTCAGTCTATATCCTGATTTCTGTCGTGTCAAGTCGTGCTTCCCAGGAGGCATTTTCTGCTTCATAGACGCAGGAACATTCAACAGCCATCCCGTAGCAGTCAAACAAGGAGCACCACCGAAACTCAAGAATTATGAAAATGATGTTAAGTGCCACTCAGAAATACCTCAGTGGTGAGAAGCAGAACGGGAGAGCTAAAAAGAAGAAGCCTCTGAGACATGAAAGCAACAAGAACAATGAAGAAAAGGAACGCCCTCTTATTAACACTTTCAGAAAACAACAGAAAACATCAAAGAACATTTTCTAAAGTATCTTATATAATAAAGACAACTGTGTGCTGAGCGGTGCTGAAGGTCTGGGCTTCAAGAGCTTCCAATTCTGATTTTGTCAGCACATTTCAGCTCATTCACGGGCTTCACTTCAAATCTTTCAACTGTTGCATGGTGGCACAGACAGAAAAGATCTTTTTTATTTTCTAAAGCTGCGAGACTTCGACAGGCAGGAAGGGTGAGAGAGAGAAAAGAGACGAAGGGAGAGAGGAAGGAGAGGAGTGAGTCAGACTATAAACACTTGGTTGGCGTGATGTTATCCAGCTGCCATGAAAACTGATCCAATGGCAAGCAAGTTCAATCTGACCGCTGTGTCACTCACACACACACAATCAACACTTCCCACACACAGATACAAAGCTTTACATTTATCATGACACACATTAAACACACACATACAGGCATATCCAAACAAGCCACGGGGTTACCGGATCAAGAAAATATTCAGTCCTTCAGCGCACACACACAGACACGCACATAGTGAAAAGCTACAGAGGCTTGATATCAATCCTCCACACCTCTAACTGAAGCAGTCGGGAATCTCCAAACACACACACACACACACACACACACACACACACACACACACACACACACACACACACACGCACACACGCGCCCGCTCAGGGAACAGTGTGCACCCTGCCAGCTGAAGAAAGCACGCCACCTCAAACAATCTCATTTGTACCCATTTCATTAGGGTGAAAGTGTTAATGAGCAGTGTCACTAAGTTTAACTGTTATCTGTCTACATCGACTAAACAGAAAACATTAAGACACGGCCAACAGCTCCAGCTGATTGAAAAGTTTAAAAAAAGTAAGTGCAAGTAAGGGCTACATTCAAAATAGGTTCTACTGAAAAGTGGAGACATTTGATAAACGTGGCGTTGGGTTGTACAGTAGGAGAACATACTTTAAAAAATGAGTGCAGCCAGGTGGCCAAGAACGTGTCATGGAGACTTACTATCATGCAGGATTTCATTCCAACCGACAGGTTACCTTTAGACAGAGTTAAACTAGCTGGTTTCCTGTTTCTGGTCATTACAATAAGCTATGATAACCGGCTAATGGCTCCAGCTACATAATGTAACGTAATGTCTTTCTTCTCACCCAACTCTCGGCAAGAAAGCGAATACGCTTGTTTTCCAAAAGGTTTAACGACCCCAAACTTTCTGTGTCACTCATTTAGCAATAGGGCTGATGCAATACAGACAGACATTACTGCTACACATTAGTACCGAAACAAGTCTGAGAAGGTTGACCGTCATACTTCTTATTTCAAATGTCTAAAAAGCTGTTTCCCTGGAGGTATAACCTGCTAAGACCAAGTGTTCATATCTGTCAAAACACTTATTAACTCAACCCCTCTCCTTACCAGAGGATGAAGGTAATGCACACATTTGAAAGTGGAGGAGGATAAGATTTTACTGGATTCAGATTGTTCTGGTGCTTTAGCTTGAACCGCAAGCTTATGGAATATGATCTGAAAACACAATTCTGTGTTTCTCTGTGTCTTTCAGTCTCTCCCTGTTGCCCCTCTCCCCCTCAGAGAGAGACAAAGAGCATTAAATGAGAGAGGAACAAGGGGAAAGGAATGTGGTGCCAACATAATAGATTTGTCAGGAAAAATTGTGCATTTCCTTCAACAACTTCTGATGATCTTGACGCTGGATTCCCACCCTCCTCCACCCACCTCAGCACATCAGAGCCCAGCACACAACGCCAACACAGCCGGCTAATTAGTAGAGCACCGTGGCTACCGTGGTCCGATGAGGGCCCGTGTTTCATCACGCACTCATTTGTTCCTAAACCCCATTAACCTTTTGGACATGCTGGTGCTTTGATATCTCAGCTGTTTACAGCTCCCTCTGCTTTCTAACAGCGTTATGTTTCAGGTGCTCGGCTGACTGCATGGACTAAATATAGGCACTATGTAAGAGATTTCCCTGGAAAGGGACACACTCTCGGGGCAGGGGGTCTGCTGTGTGTGTGTGTGTAGATGTCTGACTTCTTGTGTTTACGAGCTTATGAGAACCGAATGTACTCAGAATGTGAGTAGGATGTGCGAGTCTGTGCAAAAACGTACTTGTGTTACATTAGATATTACGAAGCTATGCACCCGTCATTTGTACAAAGCCTGTAAAAACATAACTTTTTTGAATTTGGCAAGCTGCCAATCAAATGCTTTCAAAAACATGAGTGCTTTATTTCACAAACAATTAAACCGAAACCATGTCTGACTCATCACGCTGCTCCGCTAACGCTCAAATCACCCGTCAATTTTGCAATTGCTTCTACGAACCAGCCAGCCTGTTTTTAAGTATGCATCACTGCATAACCCATCCAGCCTGAGGAAGAGACTCATCCTCTAAACTTCAACTCACAAATGTGCCTTAACTGTACAATCTATACGGCTTACAACAGCCTCTATCCTTAGACTCTCCATGCGAAGTAGAGACTCCCCCCCGCCCCCAAAATCCCTTCAACAGGAGAAATATAAAACTAAAGAAATTGTCTAAACTGCAACACCGTATCCTGCTTTTTTGTGTCAATATTATACACTCAGTTACCAGTTTATTAGGTACACCTAGCTAAAACTAAGACAGTCTAATACAACAGCTCGAGCAAGAAATCCTCACATCATGAAAGTAATAATGTTCAGTTTTTGTCGGAACTGTTTTACAGCTTTATAGACGTTTTTTTTTAGGTGAATTAGTGACAAACTTCTTTCAAAATTATACTAGAATTGAATCAAGCATTCATAGCAGGACAATTGTATCAGACTGCATCAGTATGTATTAAACTGGCAATGGAGTGTATTTTATACACACTCTTAAGATTTTAGCATTCAAATTAAGGTTGGATTTCATTTATTTGAGTCATTTTACAGACAAATTAGTGGTATACATCAAATAATCACCATCGCTGTGCTAAAAACAGTGACTGCAGTATTTCAAATATATAATTAGCAGAAAATCAAAAAAAGAACTGTACTGAACGAGTAATGAAACAGATCTTGATCACCGGCGTCACAGGCTTCAGTGTGACCCCTCCACTATCTCTACAGTATGTAAAACAAGTGTTTCAGTCATGCCATCACTACCACACTACTTTCCATGCAACTATAAATACAATTTTGTGATGACTGATATGACATAGCTGTATGCTGAGGGTTTGGTTTACAGTATCGTTTGAGCTGAATATCTGTGTGTATGGGCTCTTTTATGCCTATCTTTGTGAGGACCAGTCGGATTTTAAGCCCGACGCCATTTTGGATTGAACCTTTTCTATTCTTCAAATGGCAGTTTAAGACCTGGTTTAGGGTTAGAATTAGGTTAGGTTCATGTTTAATTACTTAGTTTTGATGGTTATGGTTAGTAAATGCATTGTGTCGATGAGGGTCCTCACACATATAGGGGTACAAGTGTGTGTGTGTGTGTGTGTGTGTGTCTGGTACGGTGTGAGTTTTACCTGTGCCTTTGTTGCGGTCCATAAAGCAGTATTTCAGTTCATATTCCTTCAGAATCTCATGGACTTCCTGTAAAGAGACATAAAGAGAGAAGCACGGGACTTGAGCCGAGAAATCGCCAAGCTTTCAATGATTATAGGAATATTCAAATATTCACAATGACAATTTGAGTTTAGGTAAATCTTATGAAAATTGACTTTTGCTCATCACAGCGACACATCCTGATTTTTCTACACTTGAGAAGATTATTTTCCTTCACGGTAAACTCTGTGATCAGAGACTTCTCCAATTGCTGTAATTTGTCCCTCACGGGTAATTATGTTTTTTGTTTTTTTCAATAAGATGAAAAGCTTTCTGTCTCCTGTCAGGCTCATAATCACAGCAGCCTGCATACTGCACTTCAATCCACGCGAGGGACACGCACACAGCTGCGTATCAAAGTAATACATTTAGAATTTATCTTTCAAATTAAAGTGTAGTCCAAGAGATCCTCACATCTGGTCTGAGTGACTCCACTGCTAACTCTGCTAGCCTTGGTTCCTTCCTGATGGGGTTTCACTGTCACACAGAGTCTCGCCTGCACACAAGTAACTGACAGCACAAGCTGGTCGGAGCTTGGCAGCAAGGGTTATATTTTAGATATGCTCCTGCGATATGCGTAACCAGTCGCAGTGAAAACCGGTCCAACAGTTCTAGATCAAACAGGAGCACAGTGTAGGCGTAAGGACTGAGCGGTGAGCAACAAAACAAAACAAAAGATAAATAAGATCAACAACCACTGCGCTAAAACAACCTGCAGGCCACGGTCTAAACTCAGTGGCACTGAAAAGGCCACTTCAGCATAAAGCAATTATTGTTAAGTGCCACCAGAGACAGGGTGTAATAGCCAGTCTACAGCAGTATGATGCACATGAGGGAGGACTTTCAGAACGGCCTTATCCAGCAGTGCAGACACTGAGTTCATCATGATCATGTCAGTATGACGTGGACACATTCTCACACTCCTTGTTTTTTTCCTTTCCACTTCTTTATCTTATTATGTTACCATCCAATTCTATCAAAACTATTCAAATACAGCAATTAAATGTGAATTGCTTGCTGGAACCCAAATTAACTTTTTGGCTTAACGTACGGTAGATGAAATTTCAACAGTTTTTTATCATCCAAAAAAAGAATAATTTACTTTTTGCAATTGTTACTATTACTACCATCTTGGTACCACATGCAATTCTTGATCAATATTATAGTTATGTGCAGTAATAATACTATCAATAACTGTATTCATTCAACTATTTCAACACTAAAGTGTAACACATTTGAAACGATAGATTCAGTGGTGTTTAGATGGATAGTTACTTTATTAACCCCGCGAGGGGAAATGTTTTCACTATTTGCCTTAATGTGCAAGAAGGATAATCTTTTAAGGAGTCTGAAAATAAAACAAGTATCAAGGAATTAACAATAACAACTAAAAAATAAGTAACTAATAAATTAGTAGCATGTTCGGTCTTCTTCAGACAGTTTGACACGTTTTTTTCCTTCTCGTCTCTCACAATGAAGTCCGGTCTTCGGATAGTGAATCCAGTCATTTCGCCGGGCTTGTGAAGCTCAAAAACTACTCATCCACCATTTTACAGTAGCGAGGTAGTCGGCTACGGCGGAGCGTATGACGTATGCACAAGTTTAACTAACTTGGTTGCGATTGGCCAGTGAGCCCAGCACGCTCTCATACATACCCTGAACGACAGGCACACAGAGGGCCACAGACGGACGGAAATTTAATTTTTCTTCTACCGGCCAGAGTGGTGGGTGGGCTCCATAATTTACCCATCAAACACAAAATTTATCGCATCTGGCGCCCTGATTGCATTTTCAAGAGCCGGTTCAAAGCAAATAAATCGGGTTTATAAACGAGCCTGAATGTGAACAAAAGGACGATGAAAGGGAACCCAATCTTTCAAGAAATGATTAGTATTTGGGAGGATGTGGCTGTTCTGTATTGTCAGTTAATGTTGCCCAAACTCTGTGCTTTTATTCAATATGTTGGCCATGTTTTTTGCTTCTATTCAAAGAAGAAAACAAAGAAATTAACTAATGGTGATACAATGATCACCTTTCACACGAGAGTGAAAGCAGGTTTGACATTTCCGGGAGGTCGAGTGGACAGAAAACATTTCCAATCCCATAATTTCTATAAAGACAACGATGAGGCTTTCTATTCTCCATTTCTTTCTCTCTAACATGATCCAGCCCACTCATGAACACAGTGAGCAGGAATGTGCCATATCAGTGAAGGCCATGCAAGGCAGCCCACGCAGAGGGTCAATGTCTGCAATCGCTCAGAGGGACACAATGCAGGTTTCTAGTCGGTAAAGCTGAGCTCTTGTATTAACAGGAATTCTGACATAAAAGGCATCAGACTAAAGGAAAACCTTTATTTCCTACGTGCACGAAATAATGAGTGAAGAAGATAAGCAACAAAACAGGAACTTACATTAGAAATCAAGTAAAGCGGTGTGCAAAAAAATAAGAAAACAAAGAAATTGCTTCCAGCTTCCCCCCGACCCACTAGATGGTCATTATTGCAGTACTGAAGAGGATGCCGACACCGACAGTGCAGAGTACTGTGTGACAGTCAGACAAGGTTGAATTATGCCACTCAGGGTTCATTCTCTCTTTGGTGGGGTGTCATCACTCGTCCCTGTGCTATTCTGTACTTAAATTGTGCTGAAAGTTTGTTTCTCGCACAGCACCGGCACATTACAAGACACTTAAAGACTATTTTTAGGAGTCAAAACAGTCCTGCCTCTCTTCTCAGCCAAACAATTTACCAGTTGAGCACACCATGCTGCACGTTTTTTTTATGATATTCCAGTTTGTTTCACCCTATTTCCTTTTTACATTCCACGTGTTAATGTTCTACTTTCATTATCCCTTCACGCTGTTCTACAATGTTCCACTTTGTTTCATTGAGATACCAAATACGCCATTTCCACAGCTTCCTAATTAACAACGCCGTAATAGCTAAGCGGCGCTCACAAGTGTTTCAAACCAGCCACTGGGCTCAGTAACGAGACCGTGTGACCAAACACTCATACTCTGTAAAACTAAACCCGCAAACTGCAAATCATGATTTTATATTTTGACACAAATAGAGCTACATCTCGATGCCTCGTACCGCTATAGAGATGGATACAGTGGCAACAAACCTTGACAGACTTTTAACATCATCACATATTTAAAAAGACACCTTTATGACCGACAGCGATTAGATGGAAAATCTGGCAGAAGAAGTGGGACAAGCCATTTCCTGTTCAAGAATGGTCGACAGCATATTCCTCAAGCTGTTCTGTGATATATAAAGCATGTCATTCTGTTCCACGCTGGGCTACACTGGTCCCTCTGCGTGTTTTAACACTTTAAGAAGCTGACATTTCCAGCAAGTCCAGTCAGTACCCAGCACCAGCCTCAGCCCAGGGCCAATTTCTGCATGCATACACACACTCTGTGCTTTAATACGACAGCAAACTGCCCGGAGACAGTAGACTTGACGCCTGGTAAGACTAAGTGGAACTCATAGGTGTAGTATAGGTTCATGAAGGAACATGAAATCAGCTGATCATCAGCTTCACAGGTGTCCACTAGAAATGCATCCATTGCAATTTGCTTGGCCACACCCAATTTTGTCTGACCGGCCGATTTCGATATTTGACGATTACGATTTTCTTTCTAAGAACTATAATCGGATCCAGACTTTTTTTTAAACACCGTCCCCAAGTCAGTGCAAACCATCAACAATTGTAAATGTTATACTTTTTTACTTAGTTATTGTCAGCTATAGCAGTTATTTGCAAAAAAACACACATTAGGAATTTAATGATATAGAAATAAATGATTGTCTTCAAATATTTGCTGTGATAAAAAGAAATGCTTGGCATTAGTAGTTTTAGTTTCTCTCTAATATCTGTTTTATAATGCTGTGGAAACATGTTTAACTGTATTCATTCAAGATATCATGATAGCGTTATCATTTACCTCTTGCCCTCGCCTTTTTACTGAGTAGAGCTTGAACGCACCATAATGCAAGTCAATGTAACATCTCCGTCATAAGCCGGACTGTTGTAGGGAGAGACCACGTGCTGGCAGCAGAAGAGCCAGTCACTGCGATTACTCTGTGCAGCCCCCCTGGGGATGAATTACAATACAACAATTGTCTGATTAAGTTCCAAATGTTTTTAAGGTTGTTCCTCCACAGCTTTGTTTGGACTTGCAGTTGTGACAACTTTATGACTTCTTCACTCACAGCAAGGACATGTGTGTGACCGTCTGTGTACCGACGTAACGCTAGCTTGCAGCGGTAGCACACGTGCGAATGTGACGAGCAAAAATATGAGACCCGACCGTCTGGTCACCGGTCAAGGCCGATCAGTTGAAAACCGTCGGATTCGATCAGTGCATCTCTTGTGTCGACAAAAGGAAAAAGTGAGTACTCAACTCCATACTCGCTGAACACTGCTGCTGCCAACAGCACCCACCTTATCTCCATCTTTCAATCCTTCTTTTTCTCTTTCTCGCTCTAAAGAAACAATAGTTTAATTGGCTCCGCACTTGTGGCACTTGTTGTCAGGTGGAATGTGGAACTGACTGCTGCAGCACTTATGTTAAAGGTTTCTCTTTGTAGCATATTTGAACTTCGCTTTGGACAAAAGCATCTGCCAAATTCATAAATGTAATTCCAGCGCAATCCAGCTTTCTGTTGGGAGAAGAATAAAAGACACACAGCCACTAAAGCATCACTGAGCGTGCACATGCAGGCCGGAGAAGCATGTTCTCGCCTAAATGCTACACAACCATTTTTTTTAATCTTGTCTAATGTAAATTGGGCAAGAAAGGTGCCTTGTGCATTACATCAAAATAAATTGCATTTATCAACAGTATTTCAAACTAAAGTGCAGTCATTGAGACAAAATATATCGGGTGTGTTTGATTTTGTGATGATCAGCAACATCAAGACCAGCAGCATCACAAGGATACCGAGTTGCAGCATCAAAGATACACCAGTTCTATTT